GGAATGAGAGCAGGTTTATTTTATGTTTTTGGTTCTGTTAACTGATTAAACTCTCTTGTCTCCTCCTTCCACTTTTTGGTCTGCTGTAATTTAATTGAGGATATCTCAGAATTTTTTCTTATCAGGAGATTACTGAAAATGGAACATGATGAATTTGGGATTCTTTTTCAAATCTGCTGAGTTGACATGTCTACATGCATCTGATTTCAAGATTGCTTGAAAAAGATACCCTCTATCCTGGTTTTGGGAATAGACAGGCAAGATGAGAAAGGTCAAAGTGCTGGTTGGAATTGTTAAAGGTGAATGTGGAGTTAGACCATAGTCCTTGAGTTTGGTTAAGCAAGAATTCAGAGCCAAGAAGTGTAATGCAAGAAATTTATTTAGAAAGTCACAGAGGTAGAAGTGAGCCTGCTGAACTGATTGGACAGGAAACAAGTTACAGAGGCAAAAGAAGGGCCCTTGGAGTTTAGGAGAAAGAAAGCAAAGATGATATGCCTGAAGGAAGAAGATGGGGAAAGGTGCAGGTATGCTCGAGAGAGAGAGAGAGAGAGAGAGACAGAGAGAGAGAGAGAGAGAGAGAGAGAGAGAGAGAGAAAGAGAGAGAGAGATTGAGAATGAACTGGGTCCTTTGTCTTTATCTAGTTTTTCAAAGGCAGGAATTTTAGGGGAGGGTCCAGGGGAGGATCTTAGTAGAACACTCATCAACTTTTCCAGGTGTGTCCTTTCAGGGTCGTGGTCTTTGCTGAATGGATGGCACTAGGTTAGGGGTCATTAGTCATTGCATCTGGTCCTGATGTCAGCCATGGCGTCACTTCATCTGGTTTTATTGCTTTTATGGGCCTGGAGCTGAAATAAAACTGAGGCCTAAATGTTATCTCTAGTTTGACCAAGTCTCTGTGGTCAATAGACCTGAGGCTTTGTTCTTAAAATTGTTTGATGCAGGTCAGAACCTCATTGTCTGAGGGCTTAATGCTTAAAGGAGTGGTCATGCAAGGGCTTGTATGGGGACCATATGAGGCTATTCTCCAGCCACCTTATTCCTCCTTTCAGGGGGTCTAAACCATCTAACTAGCAATATGGAAGGTCGGGGGATCTAAACTGCATGACTAGTGACATGCTAGGGGAGGAAAGGTCACCCTGGGGGCAGGGTCCTAGTATATAATAGTTGTTTTCTCAGATTTGCCCGTTGCTAGGTACCCAGGACGTTCTGCGCTATTGGCATTCCATCCCTAGCCTGTTGTTCCTGCTCTGCTCATGCCTGTCTAACTGCCTACTCTATTAAAATGACATGGCCACATGAAAGTAACTGTTGAAAGACTCAGAATCAAGAATAGATTAGCTGTCTCCAAAGAAGTTAGATCCATGATTGAATTGAGGATAATATGATACCCTACTGTGTTGGAACTGGAGGCTTGCTCCCTTTAGTAGATTTCTGGGCTTCTGGTGTAGTGCTGTCATGGATGAAAACCAGCTAAATGGAGCAATTATAGGGAAATTTGCCCCCCAAGAATTTGTTCCTCTCTTCTTGGCTGTGGGTATAGTACATTAAGAGTTAACTGTGGGGCTCAGTGGTGTACTTTTGCTTCTCTATTTAGCATGTTGGAAGTATTTCAGAAGCTCAGGAAAGCTGCTGGCATGGCTCTTAGGAGACTCCTGAAGTATTGAGGACCTTTACAAAGTGGTTGGGGGCCCTTCTCTGCTCTCTGTATACTGTAGTTTCTGAGTGTAGCTTGTGATGGGCCAGATGCTGGGTAACTATGTGCAGCCTCCAACTTGGTCCCTTGCTTAAGGTAAGTAACTTTACTGCTGGGTCAGTGGTAAAGAATACCAGCTTTGTTTCTTTCTTGGACTGCTCCTGAGGGTTGGGGTGGAGAGTTGGAATAAGTTCATGTGTGAATGATTGAAATTCCAAGTCAGCAGTCCTTATCACAAACCATTAAGGTTATATGTATTCCAAAAATCAAAATTTTAGAAATTCAGAAAGGCAATACAGTGCATGTGGAGTATTTTACATAAACTGCCAGTGGAGTCTGGGACAGCACCCCATAATCAAAAAACATTATTTTATGGAAAAGATATGAATATTCACCATAAGTGCAATAAACAAAGTCTGTTAATTGCCTCAGCTCAGTTCAAGTCATGTTTTACTACCAAATTAGCTCCGTAAAAAAAAAAAAAAAAAAGACTTTGAGAGCTTTTTACGTTTGGTGATTGCCAATAGAGGATTGTGGACCTATAATTGTCATTTTTTTGTACTTTTTTTGTTGTTGTTAATCCTCACCCGAGGATATTTTTCCATTTTTTTTTTTTTTTTTTTTTTTTTTTTTTAGAGAGAGAGAGTGGAAGGAAGGGAGGGAGAGAAAGAGAAGCATCAATGTGAGAGAGACATATCAATTGGTTGCCTCCCGCATGACCCCAACAGGGGCTGGTGATCGAACCTGCAACCCAGATATGTGCTCTTGATCGGAATTGAACCTGTGACCCTTTGGTCTGCAGGCCAACACTTTTAACTGCTGAACCAAATTGGCTAGGGCAGTACCCTTTACTTTTTTTTTTTTTTAATCCTCACCTGAGGACATTTTTGCATTTTTATTTTCAGATAGAGCAGGAGGGAGAGAGGGAGGAAGAGAGAGAGAGAAATATCGATGTGAGAGAGAGAGAGACACACATCGACTGACTGCCACCCGCATGACCCCAACCGGGGCTGGGGACAAACCGCAACCGAGGTATGTGCCCTTAGTGGGAACCAAACCTAGGACTCTCTGGTCTGCAGGCTGACGCTCTAACTGCTGAGCCAAACTGGCCAAGGCTCCTTTACTTCTAAATCTAGACTCTGAGAGAACTGAAGAACCAAATGCTAAAAAATATACACACGACAAAGCCAAACAAGTCTACAATGTGGATAATCTGTATTAATAAATGCTCACAAGATAGGGACACATATTGATGATTTTATAAACCACACCATTGAATCGCTGTAGGTGAAAGATCTCCATAAATATGGGTTTCATTTTTTTTAATCAGTCCTTAGTCCTGCTGAATGTCTCCAACTTCAGGCCAAGGTCAACATTCAGCATCTGGCTGCCAGGAGTGGTTGATTGTTCCGGGGTTTTTGTTAAATGTGCAGATTTCTGAAGTTCAAGAATCAGCATTCTTAATGGATGAGCCCACTAATTCACATGTTTATTCGGCCATATGCAGGGTTTCTTTGTCCCTCTGGAGAACCTGTGCTTGGGTTAAGGTCAAACTGCCACAGCTTTGCCCTGGCCAGTTTGGCTCAGCGGTTAGAGCGTCGGTCTGCGGTCCGGAGAGACCCGGGTTCGGTTCCCGCTAAGGGCACGTACCTTGGTTGCGGTTTGTCCCCGGCCCTGGTTGGGTCGTGTGGGTGGCAGCCACTCGATGTGTCCCTTTCACGTCGATGTTTCTCTCTCTCTCTCTGTTCCTCTCTCTCCCTCCCACTCTACCTGAACAAAATATCAAAAAATGTCCTCGGGTGAGGACTAAAAAAACAAAAAAAAAAACAACAAAAAAAAAACTGCCACAGCTTTGATGGCTGTAATCTAAGCCTAGGTCAAATTAAGTAGGATGGGACTCATTTATCTCTTAGGATAAGATTTTTTTTGTTTCGTTTGACCTGGATGGAGAATAGAAGAATACAACTATTTGGTCATGCTTAGAAACAGACCAATCCAGTGTGGGGGAGGAAAAATAATTTTCTTTCTACCCTTCTAGATTTTTGGCTGAGATGACCTTGTTATAAAAGACACATTAACAAGAGAAGAACAAATAGATGTTGAATAAAATGTATATCTCTGGTGTGTATAGGAGAGACCTAAAAAACTGAGTAACTCCCTGAAATGGTGTAAGCCATCACCTTAAATACCATCTCCAGCTAAAAATGAAAGAAGATGTTGGGGAGGGGATAGCCAGTTATGGGAGATGACCAGGAAAAGCACAGTAAATAAGAATAAGTTTGTTATGCAGATTTAAGTCCTTGCCTTCTACATGGAAGAGCTTCTGGAGATTTAGTCATCCTTCTCTTCTTGGTCCTCAGAGGAGGGCATGCTTACAAATGGAAATTTCCCTAATAAAAGTAAATGTCTCTTACAAAAGGGTAACCTTTACTCAGTTTTCAGAGCTTTTCCTGTGACTACTGTTTTTTAAAAATAATCAGCCTAGAATAATCATTATGTCAAAGGAGAGATTTTGGGGAGGCAAATTCTGCTCCCTTTCAAAATCAAAGGGAAGGATAAAACCTAGGGGTGGCAATATTGATAGGGTTGCCAGTAAAAAATAGAATGCCCAGTTAAATGTGAGTTTCAGATAAACATTGAATGATTTACTAGTATAAGTATAACCTAAATATTGCATGGAACATACCTGTGCTAAAACATTCATTGTTTATGTGAAATTCACATTTAACTGGGCATCCTCTATATTTATTTGCTAAGTCTGAATGCTGGGTATTGATTAATCCACCTTCGCTCATGGGAGGCAAACCAGATGGCATTTGTATACTTGTTCCATGTTCAGAATCTTTTTATACTTGTTTTAGGTTGAAAGCTTCTCAGACCGGCTACTGGTCTTATATTGAAGTTGAAAAATTGAGTCTTGTTCTAGAGGTTAAGAGGAAGTTTTTAAGAGGCTAAAAGGGCCTGAACTTTCTCCGCCTCCTACCCCCAAACTCTTACTCTCTCACTCTTCATCTCTGACCCTCTCCCTCTCATCTTACACACACACGCACACACACACACACTCTCTCTCTCTCTTAGACATACACACATGTAGATACATGTGCAAATGCAAACATGTTTGGAAAACCACCTACTTGCCTCTTTAGACTTTTACATTACTTTTTCTGTGTTAGAGTTTGGTTATTATTATTATTTATTAATAATATTATTATTATTATTAAAGTAACATTGCTTCACTGCATCTAGCATTTCTTTTAATAATCATACTTTAAAAAAGTAATTATACTTAATTTTTTTCCATTGCAGATTTTTCTCCTGGCCTGCCCTCCATGTCCGGGAGCTCTCGTGGTCTTCAAGTAAGGGAAAAAAATTTTTGCTTTGTTGTCACTGCTATTCAGTGTTTTGTCTGTTGCATAACCTAGGATGATGAGCTCATTGCTGTGAATACCTTGGACCTGTCTGCTTTGTCTCTGGGCATCCCAAGAGACAAAATCTGTGAGGGCTGAGTGAAACAGGCAAATGTTGTGTGTGGAGAATCGTCTTTTGTCAAGCTCTGACAAATCCTTTTCAGCTATTTCTTGTGGTGGTGTATGGCCAAGGCATGCTCCCTTGGAAGTTTGCTGCCTTCTTAAACTTTCTCTAAGGAGCAAGCTGGGGCCAGACATCTTCCCTCATTTCAAGAATCTTTTCATTGTGTCTGCTGCTCCACTGAAGATATGTCTTCACTTTGAAGGCATTGTTCTCGTGTTTTTGTTTTTTCCCCTTAAAATTAAAGTGAGGAGAGAAAAATATTACCTTATTACAAGTTCTAGCTTATTAAAAATAGCAAGCATTAAATCAATTAAAGTGTATTTCACAAAAATGATGTTTATCTGAAGGCAAGTTTGCGTAAGTAAAATTCTCAAGAGTCCCAGAAGTCTCATTGCAACTGTGAGTTGTGACCATCTCATTTAGCAAGCCTTTTATTAGAGTTGCTAATGAGAAGCTAAATTGACGAAATTAATTTCATCTCTTTTCTGCTTGCCTGGCACCCATTTTGGAGCTGTTCCTGAGCACTGAAATGGCCACAGGCCAGAGGGAAGGGACAGGAAATAAAGAGCCCTGAAGAGCCTTGGATAATTGAGAGTGGTGTAAATGGCTTTCTGATTTACTGAACTCATTCAAGTGTTAGGTAGAGGGAAATATACCCTATTTGCTGCTTCACATAGCTTATTGGAATAGACGCTTAGTCTCTTGGCTTTGGTGAATAACTTTCTGCTGGATGAGGGGTAGTGGATCCAGATTTCATATATCTCCTTTTTGGACAGCTCCTAAACGGAAGGTTGTATTTAACCCTGTTTTCTCCCTTGATTTCCCAAAATGAGCTCTATTTTTAGCGTAATGTTATCAAATTAGTATGTATTAGTTTTATTTTATTATTATGAAAGTAGCAATTCTCATTATAGAAAATGTAGTGACACATAAAGAAGAAAATAAATATCACCCCTAATTCTATCATCAAGAGATAATTTTGCTTATTTCCTTTCTTTTCTTAATAAACAGAGATCCTCTTTACAATTTTACTGTATCTTTTCTAAACTTAATTCATTTTATATATACACGTTATGCATAATACATAAATATGATTGCTTGATATATTTTTTTCGAGTGGTCCTTTTTTTCCCCTTTTCCTTGTTTTGTTTGGCTCCTCCGTCTCTTTCCATGCCATCCTTACATATTACCAAACAAGTATGTATCCTTTCATATTTTTTCCTATGCTTATCTGTGCATACACACACCACACACACACACACACACACACTTACACAAGTTTTGTTGTTGTTCATTATTTTACAAAAACAGAATTGTACATATAATTTAATACATCTTGCTTTTTTTTCACTCAACAGTATCTCATGGAAATTGATCCAAGTCTATTGGTATAGCTTTTATTCATTTAAAACAAGGGTATAGAATATTTTGTAGAGGCACAACAATTTGTTTAGCCATTGCCCTATTAATGAGCATTTATATTTATTCTTTCCAGATTTCTGCCAGTATAACCAGTGCTGAAACAAATATCATTGTGCATATGCCCTCATATACTACTGGTGCTATACACACACACACACATACATATATATGAATTGTTACATATACATTTATATATATTTGTATATATAAAGTAACATATATAAAGTACATCTATATATACATACATACGTGTATATATATGTATATAACCAATGTCCTTATTGATTTATAAAAACAGGCTGTTGTAATTTACTTTTACTTTTGTATGTAATATATGAATATATGAGATTATTATTTTCTTCATAGCTCTAGCCGCATAAGGTGTTACGATTCTTTTATAATTTTGATTGCTTAATAGAAGAATTTTCTTGGCATTATCATATTTTTTTGCACAAATAAATTTGAATTTTGAATTGTCTGTTCATATTATCTGCCCATTTTTATGGGTTATTTATATTTTTCTTAATTTGTAAGACCTCTTTGAATATTTTTATATTGGCCCTTTGTCTATCATGGTTGTAGAAAATCTCTCCCAAATCTATATGTATTGGTTTTGCTGATGGTAAATTTTATCCACATAATTTTTTACTTTTTTATATCCAAATATGACTGTTTTATTAAATAGGTCTGGTTTCTAGTCTGGTTAAGACATTTACTTAAAGGTGGATAACCAGCCCTGGCCGGTTTTGCTCAGTGGTTAGAGCACCCATGGACCAATGAGTTGCGGGTTCGATTGCAATCAAGGGTACATACCTCAGTTCCGATTCATCCCCGGCCCTGGGTGACGTCATGCGGGAGGCAACCAGTTGATGTGTCCCTCTCACGTTGATGTTTCTCTCTCTCTCCCTCTCTTCCTCTCTCTTTCTCCCACTCCATCTGAACAAAAATGGAAAAATATCCTCAGGTGAGGATTAAAAATAATAATAATAATAATGATGATGATGATAAAGGTGGATAACCAGTTGTAGTAGCATAATATATTAAATAATTCTTACTTTTCTCTGTGAACCAAATTACCATCTTTGTCATCTCATAAACTCTTTTAATAATTGAATTTATTGGGGTGTCATTGGTTAATAAGATTGTATAGGTTTCAGGTATGCAATTCCATAATACATCATCTGTATATTGTATTGTGTGTTCACCATCCTAAGTCAAGTCTTTTTTCGTCATTGTTATCATGTATCCCCCCTTTACCCTCTTTTACCTACCCCAACCCACATCTCCCTATGGTAATCACCATACTGTTGTCTCTTTATGCGTTTATTTTTTATTTGCTTAATCCCTTCACCTTTTTCATCCAGCACCCAACCCCCATCCCTCTGACAGCTGTCAGTCTGTTTTGTGTGCCTATGAGTCTGTTTCTATTTTGTTTGTTAGTTTATTGTGTTCATTAGATTCCACATATGAGTGAAATCATGGTATTTGTCTTTCTATGACTGGCTTATTTCACTTAGCATAATAATCTCCAGGTCCATCCATGCTGTCACAAAAGGTAAGCGTTCCTTTTTTTTTTTTTTTTTTCCCTATGGCCAAGTACTATTCCACTACATGTACTGCAGCTTTTTTGTCCACTCATCTACTAATGGGCACTTGGGCTGCTTCTAGATATTGGCTACTGTAAATAATACAGGAGGGGGGCAGAAAAAGCAAGAAGAAATAAAAGGCATCCAAATTGCAGGCTGACACTCTACTGAGCTAAACTGGCTAGGGCAGTTCTACTACTTTTTTAGTGGAATCTTTAGGGTTTTCTCTATGCAGTATCATGTCTTGCACAAATAATGGAAGCTTATTTCTTCACTTCCAATTTGGATGCCTTTTATTTCTTCTTGTTTGATTGCTGTGGCTAGGACTTTCAGTGTTATGTTTAATAAGAGTGGTGAAAGTGGATATCTCTGTCTTGTTACTGATCTTAAGGAAAATGCTTTTAGTTTTTGCCTGTTGAGTATAATGTTAGCTGTGCGTTTGTCATATGTGACTTTTTGTTTTGTTGAGATATGGTCCCTCTGTTCCCATTTTCTTAATGAGTTTTTGTCACTAATGGATGCTGGATTTTATCAAATGCTTTTTCTGCATCTACTGATATGATCATGTGATTTTTGTATTTTAGTGTGTTTATTTGGTATACCACATTTGTTTTCTTCTTTTTTTATAATTTATCTTTATTGTTGAATGTATTACAGATGTCATCCAATTTTCCCCTATCGACTCCCTACTCTACACTCCTGTCCCCCTTCTGCCATCCACACACTATTTTGTGTGTCCATTAGTTATACATATATGCATATAAGTTCCTTGGTTATCTCTCCCCACCCCACTTCCTTTTAATCCAATTTTTAAAATTAATTTATTTTTGTTACAAATATTTCTCCTTTTTCTCCCAATTGACCTAATCCTCCCAATCCCTTGCTAGTACCTGTCTCCAGCATTGTTGTCCATGTCCATGGTTATGCATACCTGCATATAAGTTCTGTGTTTTATCTCTTTCCTCTCCTCTTCCCGAACCCCCTTCTGAGGTATGTTAGTCTGTACCCTACTACTATGTTTCTGAGCCTATTTTGTTCATCAGTTTGTTTTGTTCATTATATAACACAAGTTAGTGAGATGATGTGATATTTGTCTTTCTCTGGCTTGTTTCACTTAGGATAATACTCTCCAGGTCCCTCCATGTCGTCTCAAAGGATAAGAAATTTTTCTTTATTACAGCTGCATAATATTTCATTGTGTATATGTACCACGGCTTTTTTATCCAGTCATCTATTGACGGACACTTGGGCTGTTTCTAGATCTTAGCAATTGTAAATAGTGCTGCTAAGAACATAGGGGTACTTATATTCTTTCTGATTGGTGTTTCAGGATTCTTAAGATATATTCCTAGCCCTGGCTGGTTTGGCTTAGCAGTAGAGCGTCAGCCCTCGGAATAATGAGTTCCGGGTTTGAATCCAGCCAAGAGCACGTAACTTGGATGCAGTTCATCCCTGGCCCTGGTTGGGGTCGTACGGGAGGCAACCAGTCAAAGTGTTCCTCTCATATCGATGTTTCTCTCTCCCTTTCTTTCCCTCTCTCTCCATAAAAGAAAAAACAAACAAACATATATTCCTAGAAGTGGGATCACTGGGTCAAAGGGAAGTTCAATTTTTAACTTTTTGAGCTAACACGATATTGTCTTCCATAGTGGCTGCACGAGTCTGCATTCCCACCAGCAGTGTACTAGAGTCCCCTTTTCTCCACACCCTCCCCAGCACTTGTTTGAGGATTTGTTGATGGCCACCCTTCTGACAAGTGTGAGGTGATACTTCATTGTTGTTTTAATTTGCATCTCTCTCATGATTAGTGACATTGA